ATGTATTTGCTAACTTTTGTTTTGTTGATAAACTAAGAAGAAAAATCTAATAGAAACACATTCTGGATCTTCTGGATGACCATCTCACAATAGAGTATGAACATATGATTTTTTGTGCTTGTGTGTGCCTTTTTAAAATTATTTTTAATGCAGTGTTTCTCTAAGTGGGCTAGTACAATCTGTATTCTTGGGAAGCTATGGATTTTTTTTTAAACACTAGCCTAGACCAAGTTTTCATAGTTTAATGAAGAACATCTAATATGGTAGTAAAGATTATCTAAAAGTCAAAATGAATATATATTATCCAGTATATCTTCATCTACAGGGTAGGTCTTTGTTACAAAAGTCTTAATATATGCTTTATTGAAGCAATGCTGACTATATGCATTTTTGTTTTAAAAGACAGATCTGGGGCTGACGGGGGTGGGGAAGACAGACAACCTATTTTAAACTTTGTAGGTCTTACAGAGGAGTCAGGTGAAACTTAACATAAACCATCGGAGCTACTGTGAGGATAAATCTTTCAATCCTTGAAAGTTGACATTATTTGTCTAGGACTATACATATCCTATAATGTAACTCTCACAGTTAAAGGCAAACTAATGAATAGACTGCAAAACTGTGGGGGTACAAAGGGTGAAGATGGGAGGTGAAGTCAGGGATGAAGGATGAGGGGATGAAGAATGAGGAACAAATGAAATGTGAAAATAAAGACCCATTTAGGGGGTGCCTGGCTGGCTCAGTTGGTAGAACATGTGATTCTTGATGTAGGGGTTACAGGTTCGAGCCCCACAGTGGATGTAGAGATTGCTTAAAAATAAAATCTTTAAAGACCCATTTAAACTTCTGATATCCAACCTAAATAGTTACAACTGAAATTTCAGTATTATTTCCTTTAGTAGTCAAATTAAAATATTTTAATTCCTGAAATCTGAATCTATTTCTCACACCTCTGGAAGCAACCCTAAGTCAAAAATGAATCCTTGTGAGTACCTTAGCCAGTTGTGAAAATGTAGTTTTACCTATTCAAAAATTTTCACACTTGCAAACATTTTATGGCAATTTAAGAAAGAATGGGAAAAGAAACTGAAAAAATTAAAAAATCAGGAACTTCTCTTGGAAAACTGTCCAAAATGCTGATGTTCTTACAAACTGGTAATGTTAAGATATTTGCAGCTGGTCAAAAAGGCTGCTGGTATCTATTCAATATATGAAGACAAATGAGGGGGAAAAAATGCTCATTGCAACCATGCATTAGTCAAAACCAAGGTTAAATGTAAATTAATCCAGCTCTTCAAGTCTGAACAAGCAAAGCTTCCTTCCTTCCTTCTTTTCTTCATATTAAAAGTAATCTCTACACCCAAGGTGGGGCTTGAACTCACAACCCTGAGATCAAGAGTCACATGCTCTACCAAACTGAGCCTGCCAGGTGCCCCAAGCAAACCTACTTTTAGAGGTGCAATACATTTTCTTAAGTTCTGGTTTTAAGAACAACAGCTCAAAAGCATAAATAAATCTGCAGTTTCAAATGACTAAAAACTTTATCATCTAGTTATATAAAGAATGTAATCCTTGCCATGTGCTGTAAACTCCTTGAAAGGATTATTGTCTTGTAAAACTGCAACTCTTAAACACTTAACATAGTGCTCTGCATATAATAATTCCAAATAATTATGTGTGAAATTAGTTTTCCTTGGTTATTCACTTGCCACGTTCAGCACCATCTATCTTTCCTTTCTTTGCCCTGCTTCTATTCTTTAAGAAGACTAATCCAACTAAGAAAACAGATCTTACTTAATAGTTAATAAGACATGTGTCTTTGCTTTAAAATGAAGTCTTCAGTTTTAGTTCTTCTAATACCTAGGACATACATTTCAATTTGTTTTAAGTCCTTTAAGTATGATATCAAAAGTAACAATTAGAATATATTTAGGACACAGGGATTATGACTTGAAAAATATTAACTAGGTTATTAACAACATAAAATTCTTTGCCACTAGCCCTCAAGTTCCAGTGTTTTTAAGAACTAAAAAACTTGTGATATAAATAAACATTACTGTCAAGTGTATCAGATTTCTATTTCTGATTAAACCCTTTCTTTGTTCCGATTTCCCAGCTGTGAAACAGAAAATTCAGTACTTAATAATTTGTCTAGCTCAGTGATACACTCTGTAAGGTAAAAATATGGTCCTGTGTCAGTCTTGTTACTCTTAAAGACAAACACACTCTCATGACCAACTCCACAAAGAATAAGCAGAAGGCAACAGTACTAATAAAGGCATAAAGATTAAAAGAAATAAAACAGATGAGGGTTCAATTCTGTTATCTATGTCCATCAAACATAAAACTACCAACTTTCTAAAAACTCCTACCATCCTTCTCTTTAAGTTGATGAAGGAATTCCTATCAATATTTACTGAACTGTAATGGAATTCACTGAAATTATCTAACCAGAACTAAGAGGACTATGTAATGAATAGAACTGGTACAAATGGGTACTTAAAACTGTCACAGCTTTTCAACTGTTTACAAAAATGCTGTTAAAAGACTTGTTCCATTATGCATTTACATACCTGTGCCTAGTATTTTGAAACAAAACAAATGTATTTAAAAAAACAAAACAAAACCAAAAACCCTGTGGCCTCAATGATTAGAGGATCACAGCTGAGAAGGAAAATGTCAAACAAAACCCTTTACTCTAGCAACAGAATTAAATATATATTTGAAAATTTCTATTTAAAAACTGATTCTGGGACGCCTGGGTAACTCAGTCGATTAAGCACCTAGATGGCTCAGTCGCTTAAGTGACCTTCGACTCAGGTCATGATCCCAGGGTCCTGGGATTGAGCCCCACACATCAGGCTCCTTGCTCAGCGGGAAGCCTGCTTCTCCCTCTGCCTGCCGCTCCCCCTGCTTGTGCTGTCAAATAAGTAAATAAAATCTTTAAAAAAACAAAACACTGATTCTAATGTAGCTTAGTTGTTGCTTAAATCTTGAAATTTGTCAAAGAAAGAAGGAAATGGCACTATGTTGAGAATACTAAAAAACTGACACAGGATATATTATGCAGACCAAAAAGACTATTTTTTTTTATCTTAGGGGAAAGGTAAAAATTAAAAAACTTTACTGTCTATGATGTTAACATCACATATTTGTCACTTAAGTTACCTGAAAAGTGCCTGTGTGCCTAAGATACTTTAAATGCTTATTTTATGCTGATGTACTATGATAGTGTCATAAAATTCTAGAGCTAATTATTATAGAATTATTTAAGTTATAGTAAGTTATATTCTGGATCAATACATCTAGAGTAATGATGACATAACAACATACACAACCTATGCATATTTTCTGGAAGAGTCAAGTCAAATCCTTTTGGAGTTTACTGGGAAGGTACAATAGAAAGCTGGCCATGTTCAAGCTGAGATGAAATGTAAAATCATTTTTTTGGTATGGTACACATTGTTAGAGAAGAAATTCAATCTACTATCAAATCTAATTATAAATGCCTACACTGAGATGTTTTTAAACTGCCCTTTTGGCAAAAATTATTTTGAGTAATTTTTGATACAGAAATTCCAATTCAGCTAAGTAATTTGAACACTGTCATGGGGTTGGCAGAAAAAAAAAAATCTGACTTAATATTTGTCAACTTTCTACCTTTAGATTTCTAATAAGCTTGCCACCACAAATAATATTTGGCATTTATCTATTTCAGCTTCAAAAGCTCATTAAACTTCACAGATTCATGAACTTTATATAATGGGATATCATCTTCCTTATCCAAGTTTGCTCAGGAGAAAATTAACCAACTAATTTGGAGGAACGACATGTCAACTTCTAATCATTCAAACAAATCCAATTTTCTACTATAATCTTTAAACAGATAAATGTCTAGGTCAAGTTTAAAAATAAGCAGTCCAGTAACAAAAAAAGACTGAACATGACTGAGACCAAATTTCAAACTAAAATGATTTGAAACCACTTTAAAGATGTTTAACATAATTTTGTATAGTAAAATGCACCATTCAGGAAATAATTTAGAAATACTGATGTTTTCTAGAAAGGAAGGATATCAACAGTGTAAGTCAAGTCATATCTAGTTTTGTCTCTGGATACCATGCACTGCTTGTATATATCATAAGGATATTAAAAATTATACCTACTTGTATACATGTGATAGAGAGAAGACTATCCGCAGAGGAAAACAAATCAAAATTAGATTTTAGATTGTCTAGATATTATACATTATTTACAATGTACATGTCATAAAAATATTACATTAATTTGGGCACCGTGTTTCTTAAAGTGAAAAATACTCTCCAATCTCAGAGGTAAGCTACCAAACAAAATTACAACTATTCATGGGGAGCTTCTTAAAAAAATCATTTTTCAGAAAGAAAGTGTTCAATGGTACTCTTGAAGAGCCAATGCCTACATCTGAGCAAAGCTAATATACAAAAAAGGGAAACTTTGTTTAAGAAGTGCACACTATGGCTATGAAGATCTGCTAGCAACTTATAACGACTTTGCCCATAGGGAACTCCCTATGCATTCTGCCTACACATTCACCATACCAGGCACACATATTCAAAATATAAGTCAGGTTTTAGAGGTATTAGGACATTGTTTAAAATGTGAACCACAATAATGGGGTTTAGGCTGGAAAAAAACTGTAGTAGGTTAAGGTAAAAAATTCCTTTCTTCAGTGGGATTATGAAAATAAACTTCCAAGGGGCACCTGGGTGGCTCAATTGGTTAAGCATCTGCCTTTGGCTCAGGTCATGATCCCAGGGTCCTGGTATCGAGCCCCACGTCTGGCTCCCTGCTCAGTGGGGGCCCTGCTTCTCCCTCTCCCTCCCGCTCTGCCTACTTGTGCTCTGTCAAATAAATAAATAAAATCTTAAAAAAAAAAAAAAACTTCCAAATTTACCCTGAGCACTTAGCACTTATTTAGTGGATAATGAAAATTAAGGAGAAAAAAAGAGCATGATATACTTTTAACAAAGTGACAGCTTACCTGATATGCCATTCTTGCTGGTGTTCAATAAAGCTACAGATGCTGCAGAAACTCTTTTATTGTTCACAGTCTGCCCTGATTTTCTTGAGGTACATTCTTCACTATCACTGTCCTGTAAATTTAGTAGCCTTGGCTGGAAACACTGTAGTCGACATGATCTGATATTGCTTAATATTTCAGAAAGGGACAGTCTATTTTCACAATGTTTACTGGAAGCATTGGTCCGAGTGAAATTAGAAGAAAAGTCTATAGTTTGGGAAGAGCTTGTAAAACCATTCAGCATTTCAGGGTCTATCTGTTTCAGGACTGGGTCATGTTCTGTGGATATTCGGTCCATTATAACCCTGAAAAAACAATATAAAACCAAGTATTATCTGGAAGAACTTAGTAACATTTTCTTTATATCGCCCCCTCTAGTTTATAAACAAAAACCAGGCCAAAACAAATTGTTTACCTTCCACCTCTGCCAATTCGCCTCCTTGCAAATCCTATACATCTTCTTGGGACTGTAAGCGTTGTAAGGCAATGCCTGTATCTCAACTTATCCAAATCTGCCAATTCTGAATTTTCAAATGAGTGGTTAGCTTGGTCCAAACGAGGCTGCAAAGAAAGAAATAAAATGAAAACTCATGGAGTAAATCTGAAATGAAGAGAAGTTACATCATGATAAAAATAAAGTACAGCATTAGCAGGGCAATTAAAATTTAGATATAAAACTGTAAAATTGGGTTTTAAATGACATTAACAAGATAAACTTTATAAAACTGAATCAAAAGTTCACTCACCAAAATAACTGAAATTGAATTTAATATTTTAGGGTATAATATATATTAGAAGAAATACATCTTTAAAGAAAAATATGGCTTTTAACATCTATGTAGAAAAGTAGAGATAGTAAAGTTAGTAATGCATAGGCTTCCTATTGATATAAACCAGAAGGAAAATTGTTTTTGAACCAAAAATTGTACTTTAAGCATGTATGTATGGGTCAGGCTGACACTTTTTTTTTTTTTTTAAAGATTTTATTTATTTATTTGACAGAGAGAGACACAGCAAGAGAGGGAACACAAACAGGGGGAGTGGGAGAGGGAGAAGCAGACTTCCCGCGGAGCAGGGAGCCCGATGTGGGGCTCGATCCCAGGACGTGGAATCATGACCTGAGCCGAAGGCAGACGCTTAACGACTGAGCCACCCAGGCGCCCCAGGCTGACACTTCTTCATTTCTCTGGGCCTTAACATTTCTCTACCTTTTTATAATAATTTTCTCTTTTTCTCATTAGCATAACTCGTAAATAAATAACTTTCTACCTCTTCTGTGCTAAACACACACACACAAACCCTGAAATGTTGGAAGTGTAGATGTTTACCATAATGCAGCAAGACAAATGGTCTCTGCAAGTTATATCTGAAAGCTATCCTCACAACTCTATAGCTATACCTTATCTGAAACCTGAGCATTTGGGAGTGAGGGTCACTCCTGATATAATGCTGCACCAAAACTTGACTTAATAGCACAAAGCAATTTCTAAGTGTGTCAAAAAGTTTGAGTATTATTATTATATAACATATCGCCATGAAGAAAGTCTATGTTTGATCCTTACTTGGTATGTATGCACAAGATGGACTTCCCTAAATTTTAATAAGCAGCAACAATCAAAATTTTTGGGCACCTGGGTGGCTCAGTTGGTTAAGCGGCTAACTCTTGATTTTGGCTCAGATCATGATTTCAGGGTCATGGAATCGAGGCCCTCACCGGGCTCCGTGCTGAGTGGGGAGTCTGCTTCAGGATTCTCTCTTCCTCTGCCCCTCCCCCACTGCCCGTGCGTGCACACCCTCTCTCTCAAATAAATAAATAAATCTTTAAAAATAAATTTTCAATTAGAGATTCTGGGCTTACCTAACTCTAGCAGTGACAGTAATTTTCATAACTGCTAAACGAGGCTACAGTTAAAGCCCAAAGTACAACTAAATTTCTAAAATTTAGAATTTTAAATTATCAATTTCTAAGTAAAGGATTCTGATATTTTTTAATAACCTCTGAAAGGACTCAGTACCTTTGAGCATCTTTTACTGGTGTGTGCATAGGGGATTGTGACTAAAAAATGCCAGTCGACTTCCCATTTTTAGATTAAGGCTAAGTTACCTTGACAAGAAATATCTATTAATTTCAGTTTAAAAAAACACTACAAAAACCAAGTTCTTACAGCATAATACTGGCATCCTGCTCGCCTCCTGAAAGCACAGGGACCATCAGGATCATTTTCTTCTTCAGGTTCTGATACTGGGGATGGTACCTAGAAAAAAGAGGCACGAGACATTCCATTTAGGAGTTACCAAAAGCCAAGAGATCAATCTTTGTAATGGTCTAAAATCAGAATCTGATCACAAACAGTACATCACTCCTATATTCCATACAGTAGGCAGTAAATTCCCCCAAAGAGTTAAAGACTAGCACAGATTTTCTACAGTTAAACATGATTATTTGGGATGGATTAGTTCTTGCAGGAGTCAACAAGGTATTATCTAATTGCTTCTGAACATGTAAGTACCTAAGAATTAGTAGAGTTTTTATATATCCCACTTATATTTTGTAAATAATGTATGTGGCCATAAACACTTTTATTTTGACAGTTATGCTTCATCTACAGATGTATTTTTATGCAGTAACTTTCTTTCTCTGTAATGAAGCCAAAAACTAGAAGTAAAAAAGGCATATGAAGAGTGCTCCCCCAAAAGTCATTATAGGTCATACATTTTTCTCAAAGGGAGTTCCTTATTTCCCTACGCATTTTTAAAAAATCACTTTAAAAAAAAAGTTTTTATTTAAATTCCAGTTAGTTAATATACAGTGTAGTATTAGTTTTAGGCATACAGTTTAATAAAATCACTTTTTAAACTTAGCAGATCAGAAGCAGAAAATTAGAAGAGGAAAGAAGACTTGCAGACTGGCTGCAGAGAGAAGTGATAAGCCCACAACCTGACAGCAAAAGAAAAAATAAAGACTTTCAAAAAGCTGTTATTACATAATTAAAAAGTATTCTGCCTAGAACCATGTGATCTTAGATGAAACATCCCTATATAACGTGAGTGGACCCCTGGGGCAACACTGATCCATTAGAGCAAACTTTATAAATGTCATAAAAAATGGATTAAATGATATACAAATATACTCTGATACAGCAGAGAAATAATATGGTTTAGATAAATTTCTACCCATAATGGTTAAAAATTAAAAAAAAAAAGTTTTGGTACTTAAGTTTCAGTAGTCTCGTAATTTCACTTTGGAGTACATCTCTTTTTCTGACAACGCTGGCTCAACCATATTTACTTGCAAATTTTGAACCTCACAAATCCCTCTCTTCCTATTTTGAGAGGAAAAATGTGTTCTCCACATTATTTCCAAACTGTGGTAATTACCACTGAGCAGGGTCATCCAGGGGAGAAAGGCATTTGTTTGAGGTTCCAATATACCTCCACCAACCCTATGGGGGAGACATAGAAACAGTAAGCTGGGGTTGATTCTTCTTCTCGGGGAACCAAGCCCCAAACCTGAAATTTGAAATGAAATCCCAAATGTGAATTTTATACTTTGGTTCCTTTGCAGATCATCTACCTCTTCTAAAATACACACAGGGAAGTGTTACAAAGTCTTAGAAATTCTTTGCATAAAGTATACCACCCCTCTGTCCTGACCACCATTCCCCAGGAGTGGATTCCAGGATTTAGTATGAGACATAGGAAGAGAGAGTTGATATTAGGAGAATCAGAAGCATGATCAAGAAAAGACAGGGTTTTTAATTCTGCTCTGCTGCAAATCAGTTGGGTAAGTCTGAAGTTAAAATGTTTGTTCTCTTAAGGATCCCTATTCCTTCGTTCCTTGTTTACTGGACAAAGAAGAAACATATTATTTTAATGATCTTTTCAGCAAGAAAGTCCTGATTTTGTAAGAGCTACATCCTAAATAGCTGCCTCACTGAATGACGTCCAACTATATAGGTAAATACTTATTTTTTAGCAACAAGGGGATATCATTATAAAAATTAATGAGGGTTTTTAAAGACCTAGTAAAAGGACTCAGAGAAACCTAAAAGTTTCAAAATACAATTCGAAATTTTGAAATTTTCATGTGGGTTTATGGGCTGGGGACTATATGAATAAACACAAGAATTCAGAACAGAAACAAAGGTCCTTAATGCATGAGGAATGTATGATTAGCATGTGAGTGTGCCCTACCATTAAGGTGATGGACTGATTTCAGCAAGAAAGGAAAAGTTTCTACAGGTCATAATATCCCATGTGTCATTCTTAAAGGGCTGGGGGTGTAAAGCAAAACTTTGTAAGCTATTCTGAGTACTACCAACATAAGACTATTATTGATATATAATAAACCATGTCATATTCTTACTTAAAATTCTTTAATAATGTACCAGTATATATAATGTAGTAGAAGCCATTTGCCACCTGGCTACTACTCCAAGCATCATTCTGTTCAACCTCGCTTCCCCTTTGCATTTTATGTTCCAGCAATGCCAAACTGCTAGCAGTTCTCCCTCATATGCTGTTTCCTCTGCCTAGAGCCCCTCCCTACTCTTTATATATGGAAAACTCCTATTTGTTAGGACATTATTTCCTCATTCCTTCAAAATGGCCATGTCCCATGGCTCTTCAAAGCACTGAGTCTAACTGGATAATCCTTTGACAAAAACGTAATGAATTATTTCATTAAGTGCTTTTCAAGAGTGTATAAATTAAACATTTATTTGTGCATTTGTTACAACCCAGATAAATACTAAAATATTATCTATAAATTAGTGATAGAAGAGTAAAAAATAACATAATCTAGTCAAAGGGGACACATTTTACGCTTTTATGTAAACTCTAGATTTTAAACAGTTACAACCATAAACTGTTTTATAGACAGTCTTGCTTCTAGACATATCTGTAATGTTGGTTTAAAAAAGTTTTTTTCTTTTAAAGCAATGAAGCAAAAATGTTACAATATAATAATACATATTTGTTATATAGCATTCTCTTTAGGTTGCCTATACCATATAGAAAGGAAAAAAAAAAGGGTATTGCCAGACAAGTTACTAAACTATAAATATATCTTTTAAAATTGATCCTTTAATATACAAAGGTCTTATTTTAAAAATAGCATGTGCGAAAGTAAAATTAAGATTTTAAAATTGCAAACATTTTGCTATAACTGTTGCAATATAAACCAAAGAACTGTCTTCACAATTTACAACTTGAATCAGTTCTTCTAAATCTTTAAAATTAAATGGTTATCACCAAAGTAGCAAAATTTACATTAAAGTTATAAAATAAATGCTGGTGGAATATAGTAAAAAAAAAAAAAAAAAAGGAATTATTATCGAGTGAATACTTACAATTATGTATTAACTATCTTAAAATATTGATAATCCATTTCTAATAGTCTACTTTAAATACAGAGGGGAAGAATAATAATGTTCATTTTTATAAAAGGGAAAACTGAAAACCACCTAAATGCTCCACAGAGAATAAATTCTACCCAACTGATAGAAAATAATGGAAAGTAAATACCATTTCAGTGGCTACATAAATAATGTGGAAAATGTATATATGCTATATAACATTAGGTGAAGAGAGTAAGAATCAAAACTAAGAGGTCAACTATGTTTTAAAATATAGCAATATAAAAGACTAAAAGGAAATGTCTTCAAAATAGTTTTAAAATAAGCACCTGTGGAAATTCATCTTCATCTGAGCTGTGAAAGTCATATTGCTTAATATCACTCTTATTGATCACAGGCAATGTCTCAGGAGTGGGTTGCTGAGATGTTATCAAAGCCTCTGCTTTAGGCTTCTTTGGGTACTTCTTCTTTTGACGAACCACATCAGAAGCCTCTTCTTTCAAAGACAAATGATGAGGGTGCTGTTTACATGACGATTTTTCCCCCAAAAGGAAGAAATGAAAATCATTTTAGAAATCATGAAAAACTATACTGCTCTTTGAAAAACATACATTTTTACCCAGGAGGTGATTTTATTTACTGTTTTTAATATGCAAAAATTATGTGATCATAAATTGAAAGATGTTTCACTTTTTGTAAGTTATGATTAAAATCATAATGGTACTTAATTTGCTTTTTATATTGTTATTTATACTTTAAGATGTTAGTGATTTTTAATAATTGCTCTATTATTATGCAATCCAGCATTTAGAAGTACTTAAATTCAATTTTATTTAAATCCACTGTATTAATGATAACTTTATTTTTAAAATAACTTGAATTAGATTATAAATTCATTAGTGTTCCAATTTTTAAAAATTTCTACAGCTGGTAATTTTTTGAGAAAAATAAGTTTATTAACTAGAAAAAAACTTTTACTTTTTTAGAATGCATAATTACTGCCTCAACTGAACAATAATCAAACTGTTCTCAAGTACTCCAGAACTCTATGACAGCACTTGAGAGGCCACCTGGCAAGAGACTGACTGATGGGGTGGGTTTCCAGCCCCGCTTGCTCTCCACTCAGTTGAGAAGCTCTGTTTTAACGTAACAGTATTCCTTTTAATAAGTAGGGATTTACTGCCTAAAAAGTATGAAAATGATTGTTCTAAGCACCAAAGTACAAGCAATATGAAAGTGAAAATATATTTAGGAAGTTCTGTATTTTCCCATGTAGTCCACATTTTTGTTAAAACTACTGCAGTGTCAAAAATGGTACATACAATGAAAATGTTGCTTAAATGGCAAAGTATTTAGTCATATAGCTAGGTTTCATACAATGGATATAGCTATGACATCAAAAAGAAAACTCCTACCTCTTAGGAACTACCTATATTTTAAGGTGGGATGTGTGGCCAAGTAAATAAACTATGCATAATGGGGTAGAGCAAAAATGGATGCAACCATATCTCTAAAACCAGTAAACAGGGTGAATGTTTATTCTTACAGATGATCAAAAATAAGAATATATAACAAAAGCTGATTCCACCAGTAATTTCAGGTTGAGACTTCATATTCTATGCCTACCAATCATATACTTGAAAAAAGCACTGGTTTATATGAAATGGCTTTTAAAAAATAACTTAGAAAATTACATTTATTGCACTGGTAAATTTTTGGCTATAGAGGCAAGTGGGATTTAAAAAGAATCAGGTAGGTGGGCTAGATGCCTGTGATGAATAAGAAAGAACTTTGGTGTTTAAATTGACATCAGTTGAATAAAAGGAGGAGTCTTCCTGCTCCAAATTCTTCTTTGACCTTTAAGAGCAAACCCATGAAAGATTAAGAATTGTGTACATTTTTAAAAGATGAATTTCCCACAAACACCCTATGTTGCTTTTTAAATCTTGCTACAGAGTAAAGCTCTACTATCTAAATACTCAGTCAATACCTATTTCTTATTTAAAACTAAGCTCCTTAAAGTTTTATTAATTTTTATTTCTCAATTGAATAATTAATGTACCACATGAATACTGAATAAACACAATTCCTTTAAGTCTAAGAGACTAAAATAATCACGGAGTCTAGCTCTTTCTATTAGGAAGAAAATAGGATCTGGAACTTATAGGACTTCTTCAAATCACTCCAAGTAGAGAGCAGTTGATAAATGCTGGTTCTGGAAGTAATGATGAAAATAAGAATAACTTTCCATAGTCCCAATGAAGAAAGCTTTAATCTTAAGATTTTGATGCCTGCCACTACAATACAGGATGTGCTAAGGCTAGTGATAACAAGTAAACTTTAATTTACCCATATTCTTTAGGGAAGCAGATGGCATAGTGAAAAGCACATGGTTTTTGGTTGTTAGACCTGGACCTAAACCTTGAATCAGCCCTTTATCAGCTATATGATCTAGAAGTCATACAGGGGTAAAATCTATGTCAAAGGGCTGCTGTAAGGATTAATGAGTTAATATGTATGTAAAAATTCCTACCAAGTGCTTGGCAAATAGTAAAAACAACACATTAATTACGTTTTTCCTTAACCAAACTATACTAAGATAACTGATGAAACTAGTAATTGTCTGATCAATATTACCATATGTGTTTCTCCCCAGAGGATATTCACCTTAGTTTTACATTCTTGGACTTTGTGATGATTTCCATTATGAAGAGTTGCTGGAGTGGCATATAACTCTTTGTCTGATCTATTGATTTTCACTTCATTAAGGATTTCACCACCATAGTCTCCCAAATGATATCTTGAAAAAGTAATAAAATATAAGAAAATGTTTTATAGTTTAAAAAATAAAAATGATATTGCAATGAACTGGAATACAACTAATCAAACAGAATCAACAATTAATCAGATTATTCTTTAAAAATTTACAGGAATAAAGAAGTTCATATTTGGGATTTAGTAAAAACAAACCAACCAAAAAAAAAAAAAAAACCCCCAAATCTCTAAGGGATACAGAAGACAAATTTCTCATCTATTTAATATTTTCAAACACTGGGAAATGATGTTTAGAATGCTTACCTTAGGAATCACATAAAATTCTGTTAGGCTTAGTATAGTTTATTTAATTATACAGGAAAATGACTATTACATTAGAGAACACATTTTTAAAAAAATATTTATTTATCCATTCTAGAGACAGAGTGCATGCAGAAGGGGGTGCACAGAGGGACAGGGAGAGAGAGAATCTCCAGCAGACTTCCCACTGAGCATGGAGTCCTCTGCTGAGGGGGGCTTGACCCCAGGACCCTGAGATTATGACCTGAGCTGAAATTAAGAGTTGGATGCTTAACTGCCTGAGCCACCCAGGTGCCCCATAGAGAACACATTGTTGAAATGCACTGAAACAAAAAAATGCTTTCTACCTAGTCAGAAAATAAAATCATTTAAATATTCATTTCCCTCAAATTTTAATGGAAACTTAATAAAAACAGTCAAAATGATCCCCAGGTTCTTTTCTAAATAAAATCCAATGATTCTGAAAAAAAAAAAAAAAATTAAGTGTATTAGAGGATCTATACATATTACACACAAAAATATTCCCCAAATTTGCAATCCAAACTGATAATCTAATTTTTTTAAAAAAATAGTAACATAAGAATTCTTCAAAAAATGTAGATTTTGTTTGAGAATCTATTTCAGTTGTTTTAAAGCTAGGCAAAAAAACAAAACATACCATTTGGTTTTATTTTGCCCATCATTTGCCTAAAGCTGTGATTAGTACATAACAGTAGCAATGTTACCTTTTTTCCACAACTTCTAAGGTTAAGTGCAATAATTCTCGTTTTGTTTTCTCTCTTCTCTTAATCATTTCCAAAATTGTTATGGCTCTACTAAACTCTCGTCTCAATTTCAACATCTTTTCATAAGAGGCTTCATCATTCTTACGATTCTATTGAAAATAATTTTAGAATAAACAATTAATCTAATTATCCACATTTCCATTTTCATTCAACAAAATCTTTTGAGACCCAAGTACGTTCCATAAAAGCAAAATGTTAAAAATATTAAATGTAGAAAATCATCTTAAACAGCAACTACATAAGAGAACCTATGTATTTAACTCTGAAAATAGAAGTGAAAGGAAATAGCTCTCAAATAAAAAAAAAAAAAGTTGCCCATTATTGAAAAGATGGAATAACAGAAGGGATCATTCCAATGTAAACAAAATTTTGAAAGTCTGCCTGAAACAAAACCTAGTATACCAGAAAATGTAGTCCATTCAAATTGATGCAAGGTATTTTCCAGTGACAGAGAAAAACAGTTCTGTCAAATCAAGGTTACCTAAAAATAGCCAAAATGGGTCTCCATCCATCCATCCAGCTCTGTAATTGTTGGCTGGAAGGGTCAATACACCACAATGTAAACACATACAATGACAAGCAAAACTTCACTTCAGAAATTCAAGATGTAACACTGAAAGTGGGATATAAAGCATCTCAAGGAATGGAATTATTATGTTTCAAGGTAATTAGCACCTCATTGCAGGGTAGAAAACAAGTGAAAACTCTGAATTTCAGAGTATTGTTAAGAAGTTCCTACTTTGAAGCATAAGATTTAATTAGAACTCAGAGTGAAAGTCCTGCTTAGTAACTAGACAAGCTCAGTTGTAATTAGCAGCATCTATTTGCATATGAAAGTTACTGTTAATATATTTTGTTTAATCAAATAACCAAAGAATATTTATATTAGGCATGGAACTATTTGTTTAAAAACAGACCATTACCACCTCTCATTCTATGTATCCAGACAGACTGCACTTAAGCAATCTTTGCATCCTTGAGTTAATAACGCAATATGACATTATGACCCAGCAATTACACTACTAGGGTATTTACCCAAAGGATACAAAAATAGTGATTTGAAGGGGCATATATACCTCAGTGTTTATAAGCAGCACTATCCACGATAGCCAAAATATGGAAAAAGCCCAAATGTCCATAGAAGGATGAATGGATAAAGAAGATGATGTGTGTGTGTGTACATATACTTTATAAAATGAAGTATTACTTGACCATAAAAAAGAATTAAATCTTGCCATTTGCAATGACATGGATGGAACTAGAGTGTATTATGCTAAGGGAAATAAGTCAGTGAGAGAAAGGCAAATACCCTATGGTTTCACTCATCTGCTGAAGAAACAAAACAGATGAACACAGGGGAAGGGAAGGGAAAACAAAATAATAACAGAGAAGGGAGTCAAACCATAAGAGACTCTTAACTATACAGAACAAACTGAGGTTTGCTGGAGGGGAGGTGGGTGGGGGGATGAGGTAAATGGGTGATGGGCATTAAGGAGGATGCTTGTTGTGATGAGCACTGGGTGTTACATGTAAGTGATGAATCACTAAATTCTACTCCTGAAACTAGTAATACACTATATGTTAACTAACTAGAATTTAGATAAAACCTTAAAAGAAAAAAAACCCCAATATATTAAAGAGATAACTACTAATGACACAAGCTCTGCAGGAATAAAAGCTGTTGTCACCTCATCAAGCAAGGATCACAAATACTTGGTGTGCTTGCCGACAGCAAAACAGATATGGAATATATTCTGGAAGAAAGAATTTATAAATACCTGCTTTGACCATTTAAACAGTTTAAGAAATAAGGATTTATGAGCATATCCTAATTGATCTGATGTGAAAAATTACTTGTAAATATTAACCAAATCTTTTGTATCGTCCCTCTCTTTTATTGTCAAAATAAAGAATGCAATATCACATTAGAAGGAACCTGAAGCCAGGTTTCATACTGGAGGACTATAAAGGAGAAAATAAAACTTGAGAAAGATTCAAAGTTTTACTCTCTTTTATGTGTAGTTTCTTGTATTTGAAAATTAATCATCACCTATAAAACATAACCTAAACTAAGTCCTATTAAGGTACTGCATATTTACATTTTAAAATGCTATGTTAATAAGTCAGTCTTTTACCTTATCAAAAGGAAATTAATCTTCTCCCCCCTTCCAGTACTATGTGACAAAAGGCAAAATCTGAAGTATGGTTTTGAGCAAAAATTTTTGGCAAGCAGGCAGCAATAATACCTTCTAACTGAAAAAAAATTAACATTACCAAGAGCAAATATTAAAGTGTCCCCCTGTACAGAGTACTGCACAGGTCCCCTACCCTCAAAAGGCTTGAAGTCTAGTAAGAATGAGACACACAAAGATGAGTAATACTACAAGGCTACATGCCAGCTGAACAATATTTAAAAGTGCACCAGAACCTTTTAAGATTACCCCCCTCTTCACTAAGTGTTCCTTGTGGCCTGTATGCTTCTGCCCTGTCTTAACCAGTCGTTTCTTGCTCTCTTTAGGCCCAAATAAGTACCTTTTCTAACTTTTCCTTTCTCTAGTCCTGTCTTTTCTACTCTTTTTTTTTACCTTTTATTTTGAAATAATTTCAGATTTACACAGTTACAAAAACAGTATAAATTCGTATATATCTTCATCTAGATTGCCCAAATGTTATTTTACATTTACTTTATCTCTACGTATATATGTATATTATTTAATCTATACTACCATGGACTAAATGTTTGTGTCCCCTGAAAATTCATGTTGAAATTCCAAGCTTTCAATGTGATGTTATTTAGAGGAAGGGTCTTTGGGAGGTGATTAGGTCATGAGGGTGGAGTCCTCACAAATAGATCTGTACTCTTATGAAAGAGATCCCAGAGATCCCAGAGAGCTTTCTTGCCCCTTCCACCATGTGAGGACACCGCAAGGTGACTTATGAACCAAGAAGTAAGCCCTCACCAGACACTGAATCTGCTGGTACCTGTATATCAGATCTCCTAGCCTCTAGACCTGTGACAAAGAAATGTGTTGTTTAAACCACTCAGTCTCTGGTATTTTTGTTACAATAGCCTAAACGGACTAAGACATATATGTGAATGTATATAAAAAAATACACAAATATGTAAAATTAGCGGTCGTATTTAAAAAAAAGATGAGACTAGTTGAATATATACTGCCCCTTCATCCCTAAGCACTTTAATACGGGCTTTCTAGAAACAGTGGTACTCTCTTATATAACCAGTACTAGTATGGAAATCAGGAAATTAACATTGACTTTATTCATATTTCACTAATTGTCCCACTAATGTCCTTTATGGCAACAAATATAATTGTTAAATATATTTTTATATATTTATGTAATCATTGCCATAAAGGACATTAGTGGGACAATTCTTATTATTAAATTCACTCAGCCGATTTTTTCCTGGTCTAGGATCTGATTCAGGATTACAACTGTTTTAGTTATCATGTCTCTTTATTTTCCTATGATTTGAAATAGTTCCTTTGTCTTTCTACAGTGATCATGATCCTGACATTTTTAAAAAAGATTATTTATATGAGGGGGAGGAGTCTTTTTTTTTTTTAAGACTTTATTTATTTATTTATTTGAGACAGAGAGAA